GTATATTTCAAGTACCGAAGACTGAATACCATTTTTATATCATCGGCATGCGGCAAACTGATCAACCCTGTATGATCATTCATTATTCACTGTTGGAGACAAGCTAAGTACACGTTACCGTTCGAATCACGTGAACATCCTGAACGAACAGGTGCACCTTAGATATAGAACAGTTTTTGTGACATGTAAACCTCATACAACCTAGTCTAAATAGCGAAACCGAACAGCTTTTGGGACAGTTGGGTTACAAGGTCACACAGTTCTCAATCTTTTACATTTGTTTATCACATACCCTGGTTATTGCGGTGGACGTACACTATTTTCGATCAGTAAATAAGCTATTACTAATGCATAAGAAGTAGGATTTTTATCATCACTTGAATAACATTCCAGTTCTGTAAATTTTTTTTATTACATACATGAGTGTGATAAACAGCAGACGGGGCGAACCCCATAGTCACGAAGACCTGCTGTTCAGTGGTGAAAACCGGCAATCTAAGCCCTGGGACTTGGAGTGGCGAACCACATAGGGCCCCGATAGGTCAGGCGTGGATTGAACCGGACGACAGCAGAGCTGCCTACCACCAAAGTCGGTTGGCAGTGGCGGGGTTCGAACCTCGGACCATAGGGCCCAAATCACGCAGGTGACAGCGACTAAACCACCATCGTCGGATTTGAAATCTCCACTTGGCGAAACTTTTATATAAGTTTCCCCCATAAAGAGGATTTGATCTTGTTCACATCAATCAGAATTCTCGAGTGCAACAAGTGGCGAGAATGAATCTAGAAAAAATTGGCCCCTGTGATAAATCTTTTGTCAGGTAAGTATCAGACTGTCAGGGATAGTTTTAAACAGGGAATGTGAAGTATTATGTGTATTCATCTGAGGAAAATCCAACGAAAGTAACTACAGTGAACTATGCTAGTTTATCAGTCTCTCAACACAGTAACGCAGAAGGTAAATTACTTGGCTCAAACATCATCATCTGGGGACTGAAACAAAACGCGATTGCGCTGATACACGCATGTGCAAATGGTTTTATTTACCAACACAGTGGAGGTGAACATGCGTGTGTTCGTTTGGTTGAAAATGTATACAAGGAGTCCGTTTGAAAGGCAAACGAACTCTGGACGCGTGGTCCAAAAGGCACAGACAGAAACGGTCACACTGAAAGCACAAGAAATGTATTTTCGGGAGATAGGGTGGAAACCCATTGTTACTTGATTAACTGTAAACTGAAGGCAGTTGTTACACCATGATCATACCGAAACGCAAACCGGATAACATTCACAGATCCATATCTTCTAAACCAAGTTTTGGAGGGCCACCAGCTCGTTTCACGTATCGTCGATATCGTTTGTGTTGAGAGTTTTCGGCAGCCTGGATCCGTTGTTCCTCTGCTTTGGATTCTGTGTAGACCTAGGGGAGCAAATATC